GTTGCTGTTGTTGTTGTTATTATTGTTATTATTGTTATTATTGTTATTGTTGTTGTATTATTGTCATCTATAATTTATACAATTAACCTCCTTATGGTTCGGCCCCGGTCTTGCCGGGTTATTTATTACTTCGACACTCCTGCAGTTGGGAGAAGACATCAATCTTTTAGTCGTGTTATAACCCCAAGATGAAAATGCGAAGTTGTCCCTCAGGTGCAGTGTGGTTTTCAATTGTTGCTGGAGTTCACTAGATCATCAAATGTTTTTTAACAATATTGCCCCCGGTGTGATCTGAACGTGCTCGTTCATTGATTTTCTTTCTTTGAACCACATTGTCCTTCGTTCACTGATTCTTCATTTAATCATCTTTCTTTGCCCCCTAGGTAATCTGAATATTGCTTGTTTTTCCTTTTCAGGGTCTATTGAATTGCCCCAAGGTGTTTCAACTTTTTAAAGAGTGTTTAAGAAGAGTTGATGTCATTTCATATCAAAGAATCCGCAAACTCAATCGATGTTCTTCTTTGTTTAACAATCCTTCTTGTTCTAGAATCATATCTCATGTTTCAAAGGTCATATCTATTCAAGTCTAATTGTTGAAATAGAAATTAGAGAGATATCAATTTTTGAAAAGATCTTTTGAAAATCATGTTTTTTAGTCAAAGACCCAACACACGTCATTCAAAATATGTAATCCTTTGATTTGTGTTGTATTTTGAAAACAAAAATTAACCTGATGTAAGATTAAAATGGCTTCTTCTTTTTTTCCTCATGGTTCTTTGTATCTATTTTAAACTTTGATTTTGGGTTTATCTTTTTGATAGTTTGTAATAAGGTAACATTTTGTGAATTTCCAAAACAAGATGCTCAGGCTTTATCAAGACAAATTGTTTATTTTCTTAGCATTTATTTTATCAGCATGCATAATAACAAGAAACTTAATCCATGAAGTCACGACCCTTATAGAAAAGCTCTTCTAGTTTTGAGAGCACCGTTTATCGGTTTAGATTACTTACTTGATTGAAAAGGGCTTTTAAAAACATATAATGCAGGCTATGGTTCATGGCTATGAAAAAAAGGAAAATTCATAGGCTCAAAATGTGTTTAAAGGTTTAAAGGCCCTAAGATCAACATCAACTATTCATCGACTCTCTTTCTATTGTCTTTGTAGAGAAAGTGACATATAACCTTGTTAACTTCAAAAATATGAATTCTCTTAACATAGGTCATCGAGCAAATCCAACTTTTTCCTCGATGAATAACCAATATAATCATTAGAGGCTTTATCATTGATACCAAAAGATAATTTTTATAACTCGGTATTTTTTTTTGGTATTGAATTTTGGCGCATACTGTGTCTTTTCTTAATTGAAACCTCTTTTGCTCTTTCTAGACTTGATAGACGTTCTCCTTCCTTAATCTTTGACTTGCCTTTAAGTGTTGGCAATTTCCTCTCTCTCTTTTTTTTTTTTCATAGCCTTCCTTAAAGTTTTCTCACATGCCCCCTGTCTATGGTTTCTTTCTTTTAGCCCTCTCTTAATTGTTGGACTTTTGTTCTTAGCCTTCCCCTTATCCATTGATTATAACATTGCCTTATCTTTGCTAACAAAAATCTCTTATTTACTCCTAGTGTGGGGTGTGATCCTAGTCAGGGTTTCTTTTGAAAAGAATATTCTATAAGGCTCAAATGGGGACCACAAGGGATATAATCTTTAGAAAGTGAAGGGATGAACAAAGATGATCTTTTCTCATTTCAACCAAGGTCAGTTAGAACCGATAAATTTTGACCTCATCTAGTGTAATGATTTGGACTTGTAAGAATCATGATTCACGAGTTCATAACTATTGAATCCACTACATGTCATTATGCATACTTCTAAAATTTAGCTACACAGTGTGTGGTTCAATTTCATGTGTGAGCTCAAAATTTGTTTGGTCACCCCATATCATTTTAAAAAGCATCGAGTGATTTTTGCAAACAAAATACTTTAAACTTTTAGGATTGATTAGCCTTAATCGCATGTTGGAGTCGATCAAAATATCTTGCCAAAATAAACTTTGAAAGAAATATCTCATGATTTCAGAACAACAAAGAGACAAAGAAAAGACATGTTTCATTAAAGGATGAGCGATGTGTTTCCAAAATAAAATGGAAAATGGAAAAAATCCACAACAAAATGATTGACAATTCAGCACCATTCTTGGATCCACTTTTCTAGCAATATTTGTGCTTGGCCAAGCATTTTCAATCTTTTGTCAATCTAAGGATGTTCTGGTGACAATATGGTTGATGACATCATCTTTCACAAACTCAACTCGCATCTTGCTGACCATCATCTGATCTTGATTCCTAAAATTTTTGCAACTATTCAAATGAATGGCCCAAGACCCCACCATGATATTCATATCTCTTGTCTAGATCATACCGCCTAGAAATAGTGGCTGTATGAGATTTAACGGAGTCGAGGCAACAAGCCTGGAGTCTAACACATGCTAGTAGACAAACTTGAGTGGCCGAGGTATGTCAGTCTTGGCAAAGATATTTGAGCAGTTGATGCTACAGTGAGACATGGCTAAACCACATAAATAAGGTTTTCCACCTTCAGAGTTATCTTTCGATTCATCTCTTATCATTGTTCTGGAATCTATGGCAGAACCTTCAATCTTTCCCATCATTATAGCTTGTCCAACTCTTTTACAAATCCTCACAATGTCATGCCAATCTTTGATGCTTGTTGTGTGGTTGTTGAAGATTGGTGGAAACCTTTCAAGGCTGTTAGGTTATCATGGTAGTGTGCAGCACCATCACTACCGATGTATGGAATCATGTATTGTCTCTACTAGAAGAGAAAATGATGAATCTGAAACTCTTATGTCTCCTCTTCGATTCCTCACTGGTGGTGCAGCAAACTAGCACCAATAAAGGGAGTTCCGCTCTGTTGAAGTTTGAGTCTTCTTCATGTTTTTAGTCTAGGCATGTCTCCTCTCTACTTCTATATTTTAATGTTAACATTGGTAGGAGAAAGATCATTTATGTAAATGATCTGAAACTACTGTATTCCTTCTTGGATTCTCTACTGGCAGATCCACAAACAGATATATGTAAAGAGAGCTCTACTACATTGAAGTTTAATGTCTGCTTTGTTTTTTTAGACTAGGTTTGGCTTTTCTGCTTACCATTGTGTTTTGGTGCTCCTACTGATGAGAGAAAGTTTTGTAGCATATGAAACTACTACATCCACTCTTGCATTTTCCACTAGTAAAGCCACAAATAGATCTCTGTAGAGAGAGCTCTACTATATTGAAGTTCAAGGTATGCTTGTGTTTTTTTTTTTTAAATAACATCTTTTGCTGCAGGACAAGAATAGAGTTCACAGCAGATATGGCTGGAAAGAAGGCCTCTACTCATGGCATGCAAGGCTGATAGCTATTGGGTGTCATTGAAAGATATGGAGTCGGTGAACAATTAACAGTGTATCTGAACTGAAAAGGAGATTGTCTTTTATTGATTACTGAAGGCGTTGCTACCGTTCATGACTAAAATGAAGGAGAGGTGGTGCCACTTCAGTGTTTATGGCCCTACTAGTGGAGTGCTGAGGCGAGAAGTGAATGATGTTTTCCTTGTGTGGGACATGGACTGACAGTGCTTTCATAGGAGGTTGTGCAGACATTCCCTTTCCACTCTTGAAATTCAACAATTGTTCAAACGGATCAAAAAGTCTAGCTACTTCCCATTTGATGCTCTCCATTTCCCTTAGAAAATGACCCTCTTATCAAAACTTACTTTTTATTTTCCAACTTTTTTTAGTCCAATATAGTAGACCTCGGGTGAGGGAACCAACTTTTAATCTCAGTACATGCATGACAAATGTATGAGCATTAATCTATATGATGAATTCGCCCTTCAAGAGGTGACATATGGTCATAACTTTTGTATGATGAAACAAGAATAGTGATACTTACCCAAACTCTACAATGAAATTTTTTTTAGTGATGACCATTGTGTCACCCACAAGTCTTGAGTTCTAGATGCTTCATGAAGGGTTTGCCCTGATACAAATAACGATAGCACATACAACCTTAGAATAGGTTCTATTCATTATGTGAACATGGGTATGTTTTTTACCTGGTCCCAAAAGAGTCCCATATCTACCCAGTGACGATCTTCGTAAAGAGAGTATAGGGACGTTGCAAGAAAAGACCTCGCCATCTCTACAAAGCTATGGACTCTTGGAGAGAGTGATTTTAAGGTGTCTGATATTAATGGCACCGTCATCTTCCAAGTCAAGAGTAAACTCTTAACCCTACATGATCGTCGCTTTCTAAAAGATGCAGCCGGTAACACCCTTGTCAATCTCAGGCAGAAGGTATGTTTAATTGCTCTTTGTCATTAGCTTTCTTCTTTTTCAGTCTAACCATCACAACAATGATAAATTCTAAATTTGGTTGCCTTTTACACGAGACTAGATATGATTCGTTTAATATAAACATCGAGGATTATTATTATTTTCTAAAATATTAATGATGAAAATTGAATACATTCAAATAAGTTTATTATCATTACTGTCCATATATCAATGAGATGGCTTACCGCGTGTTTATCATTTTCTCCAGATAAGGACCATGCATCGGAGGTGGGAAGCTTTTAGAGGAGAAAGCAAGGAGGAGAAAGATTTGCTTTTCACAGCCAAGAAATCAAAGTTGTTCCAATTCAAAACTGAGTTAGACATATTCTTGGCTAACAACAAAGGAGAGGTCCCTGATTTCAAGGTCAAGGGAGGGTACGGAGAGAGTTCCTGCTCTATACTTCTTAGAGATTCCAATCCCATGCTTGCACATGTAAGTTCGATGCTCTCGTTCATTTTAGAGTCCTATCTTTGTAGGTTTTCATACTAATATTTTTTAATCTTACATGAATGCAGATGGATAGATTACATTCTCTCACGACTATGATCTTGGATACAGATAGTTTTGGACTGACTGTTTATCCTAATGTTGATTATGCCTTCATAGTAGCTCTTGTGGTGATTCTCGATGAGATCAATGCGGACCGTAGTGGTGAAGATTAAATACAGCTTTTGTTTTATTTTAAGAGAAGTTTTCAAGTTTTATTGCTTTTTTATTGTAAGAGTAAATACAATGCATTCTTTATTGCTTTTTCCTAATGTAAAATGCATGCTTTGTGGATGACATAAAGCGTAAAATATATAATGTTTGTTAAGTTTTATAATCATTTATTTAATGTGTTTTGAATTTTGATCAAACCCAAAAACAAATAACTCATAAATTGAGATAAATGATCATTATATAAACTTAGCTTTATAACT